ATCTGACTCAAGTCTGGTTTAACATAAATTGTCTTAATGTGCCAACTACTTTTTGATTTTCCGGACAGGATCTCAGCAGGATCTCACATGCGTGCCTCATCTAACTCTTATGTCTTCTATTTGATATTTTTCTATTGTTGCTTTGACAAAGTTACCTTAAACAGAAGTTATGTCATATCTGATGTATGCAAACACCCTCATACTTGCTGGAGGTTGTGGATGCTATTAGCTGCTCCCTTGTTATGTCGTCGTACAAAGTGTAAAACTGCTTTTGAAGTAACTCTGGCGTTTATCTTATTATATTTTTGTGTTAAAAGTGTTTTAGCTGATACATTCGTCAGTCACACAAGTGCTTCCAGGCTCCGAAATTGTGCCATGTTGTGATTCTTTCTAGATTTACTTCATTCCAAAAGCAGTTTTATGAAATATATAGCATTAACTGAACTTTGACTGAACTGTTTGACTGGATTACATGAAGAGTAGAGTAGACCTGTGTGTATTATAGCATAAAAAGCCTTGCTGAAGCAGCTTTGCTGAATGATTGCTTTCATAAAGGATTTTTTGAATGTATTTTCCTCTCCATATCTTATAAATCTACAATAAAGAAACTGGAAAATGTTTGTTGTCATTAAAAGAACAGATTTGAATTCAATTAACCATGAATTTGTGTTAACACACAAAAGCCGCATTAATTAGTGGCTACACACTGGCCCCTTCCCCAAGACCAACAAATCAGCCTTTTTAGTGGTGTTTGTAGTGGAGATTTAGTGCACTCAATCAATCCCACAATGCACAGCAGTAACGAGTCTACAACCCATGTACACTCAACAGCTAGGCAATCAAGAGGGGTTTGGATGCAGACCTGGTGCAGTGCAATCTGAGCTGCATCCAATGCTTTTTAATGTGCTCACCTAACCCCACCCCTAACCCTACCCGTCACAGTGACGTCACTCACTCCATTGTGTGCATTGTGTCTGACAGTGCATTGGTGAGTGATGCCATCTCAGCTTGCATCATAAATGCTGCATCCAGATACTATTGGGAAAACCCCTTAGTACACTGTGAGTTCATGCACCATATGGATTTCCGCTTCTGACCACAAGATGCCATCTAAAGTGCCATGTTATCGGTGCAGGTTTCAAAATAAAACATTTATTTATTCATTTTCCTTCGGCTTTGTTTCTTATTTATCAGGGGTCGCCACTGCAAAATGAACCATCAACTATTCCAACATACATCCTTCCAGTTGCAACCCAGTACTGGAAAACACCCACACGCTTATTCACACACTCATATGGCCAATTTAGTTAATCCAATTCACCTATAGCTCATGCATTACCGTGGAGGAAACAGGAGCACCTGGAGGAAGCCCACGCAAACACAAGGAGAACATGCAAACTCCACACAGAAACGCCCACTGGTCCAGCTGGGACTTGAATCAGTGACCTTCTTGCTGTGCTAACCATTGAGCCACCGTGCCACCCCAAAATAAAGTATTATTTAATTAAAGTAACATTTATATACATAAATCAAATGTCTTTGTTTCTTTACTAATAGACTAATCACTAAGTGTAAAATAACCTTCACAAACAAAACAACATTCCTTCTAGTGTATTAAATTAACTCACTCCTTCAAGTGGACAATATCAGTGGACTAATGTAGGGAACAGTGAATGAGGGTATAGGGGGTGATTTTGGATGCAGAAACCATCTCAGATAATTAAACAATTAAAGCCAGCCTGTATAAATTCCTGAGTGCAATAGTGCATTCAAGTCAAGTTAACAAGACAGGAACTCTGGATTTTACTCTCCGAGTTTCCGAGTTGTGGGAGTGTCCCTAAGAATGTCCCTCAGAAGCAATGGATGAAGCATCTTGACAGTAATTTGACAGTAGAAAAAAGCAAAACTGAAGCATATTAGTGATTGTTCATTTTGTAGATGTACAGTTCACATTTTTCTAAATGCATGTATAAAATGTATCTTTTGTATAACCACTAACCACTGGGTCATTGTGTCGTCCTAACTTAAACATCTCAACTCATAAATGCAAACACCCCAGAAGACCTCGAATGCAATACTAGTTGACTGTGTGTAAACCATAGTTAAAGGCAGGTTCAAGTATCAATGTCTTCAATACACTTAGCAGAGGATGAAAGGATTAGAGTGATGACATGCCAATAAATGATGCCAAAGAACTAGCGCTAAGGAAAGCAGACTGTGGGGTTGCCTCGTGTCACCTTGCAAAGCCTTCGTCGGGGCAAACCCAATGAGCAAAACAAGTTAGATTGCACTCACTGCAGGAGAGAGTGAACATAATTCTCCCATACCATGCGGTGGCAGTAAATAGTGCTGGGCTTGTTAGCTCTTGGTCTTCTTCTTGGGTATAAAGAAAGATTAAGAGCACAGCTGTTTTTGTGTGTGCATTTGTATGTTTCTTCAAAAGGTTTTGAACAACACAACCTGAGGATTTAATACAGATGAAAACCGAGACTGAATTTTGTGATCTATTCAGCCTGATCTCACGATAAAACGTAAGTATTTTACGTTTTGCCAGTTTAGTGGCTAATTCGTACGAATTCGTATGAGTTCAGTCGTACGAAATGGTTCGATTTTAAAAAGGAGGAGTGGCACCTGACCCCACCCCTAACCCCAACCGTCATTGGGGGATAAGCAAATCGTACTAAATTGTACAAATTAGATCGTACGAATTCATACGAATTAGCCACTAAATGAAAAAGTTACGAATTGCCGTGAGATTGTGTTGGATCTATTCTGAATTCAGAATATATTTATCTTCTTTTAAGGACAGCCACTTTTTAAAGATTTGATCCAATCCAATGGCCAAATTACTAAACAAATCATTGAACAATTGATCTCAGTCACATCAACGTGTACAGAATATCTATATCTTTGTATACATATAATTTCAAAATTCTGCATAGGCCCAGATGGAATCTGTGCTTACAAAAATCTAAAGCTTTTTGAGACCATGATGAGTTTATTTTGTCTATTTAATGTCCAATGTTCAGATGCACTTTGGAAAAAAAAAAATATATATATTTTTTTTATCTGATAAAGCTGTTGAAGTCTCTATCAAAACCATTCATGATTGCTGCCCAATAAATACCAAACTAGCTAAATCTAATAAGAATATTTCCCCTAAATGCTCATTTTGTACTTAATATGACAAAACCTTAAATCATTTATTTTGGAAGAGTACTTACTGTAAAGTGTTTTGGGTTATCTTTTCCAATTTCATAAAAAAAAACTTTGTATATCCCCAAAAATTGTATGCTTTGCTCTCTGAACTTAGATCCTTCTCATTGTAAAATTATTATTAATTTTTTGCTTTTTCTGTCTACATTTTACATCCAAAAATTTTCAAAGAAACACCCTTACCTTTTTAATTTTTGAAAGGATTTTGATTTACATGTAAACTCCTTTAAAAGACATTAACAATTATATTGCATGTCAAACTCTTTCTTGATGTAAATCATTTAAACTTGTTTAATTTGCTGGAATTTTATTTAGGTAACCCTTGTTGTCTCTTTGTTTATATTGTATCTTTGTGAATGTTCTTTCTTGCATAATAATAAAAAATGTTCAGTTGCAAATGCTTAGATGATTCAGACCAGGGATGTCCAAACTTTTTCTTGGGCCAAAATCTAAACTTAATTGAGGTTGGTTGTCTGGAGGTAACTATACCAAAATGTAAAGTTGTCTATATAATTTCCTAAATTGTTATTAAAATTCATTATATAATTTATAATATAATATAATTAATACTATAATTTAATACATTTAAAATACTTCAATTGTATTAATAATTATATATTTTTTACATTTTATAATGAACATCTTACAATAAAAACATGAACAATCCTATTTATAACACTAAAAAACACATTGCCTTGATTCGCTTGCTGATGTCTTCTGCAATGTCCACTATCTATCGTTACTGTATTAAAAATAATAATAATAAAAAAATCTGATTCATTCACAACATTTAAATAAAACATTTAATTTCAGTTTGCTTTTTGTATCAACAGTTAAAAGAAAACAAAAGTTATGTTAAATTAGAAATGACAGTCTCTGTTAAAGGCATTTCCCATCATTCTCCTTCTCTTCTCAGAAGGGATGGAGGGCCAAATCAAATGTTACTGTGGGCCAACTACACAGGGGCCTTAATTGGGCGTCTCTGATTTAGATGAAAGTAATATTTTCTGTCTTTTATTAGATACGAGAGACTTGATTTGATACCAAACAAGTTCTAATAGGATTTGAACTGCAAACCTTAAATAAAAGTTAAATAAAAAAATTTCCATGTGTTTTAGTTTCTGTATTCTCATAATAATTTCAGATAAATCCACAGATTTCAATATTATTTATTTATTCATTTATTATTATTATTTTTTTTTACAAAATCCTGTGCAGAAATACAAAAAGAAATTCAAAATAAATCAGAAGATTGTGTCTGGCACTGCTTATTACAAATAAATGTTCTATATTCCATATCAAAACTATCAAAAGGATTGATTATTTTAGCATTGTTGTGGCATTTTTGTAATTAAGCACATGCCTCCTCTAATTTGCATTACCAAAATTGTATACATTTTAACTAACTAACTAACTAACTAACTAACTAACTAACTAACTAACTAACTAACTAATAATAATAATAATAATAATAATAATAATAATAATAATAATAATAATAATCTGAAACTAATGTTCTAAAATATATATATTCAGTATTTATATATATTATATATATATTCAATATTTTCATTAAATTACAATGTTTGGCGGTTCATTCCGCTGTGGCGACTCCTGATAAATAAGGGACTAAGCCGAAGGAAAATGAATGAATGAATGAATGAATGAATGAATGAATGAATGAATATAAATTGTTTCAAAATCCCAACCCTAAGCATGTCCAGGTCGGACGCAGAAAACTGCAACACCACGACACCCCCTCCCCTCTGCTCGCTCAGCCTCTCCGCCCAGTCATTCATTCATATTTGGTCTTCCGGAAGTGTCTCAGGGTCGGGCCAGTCAGTGCCTGCGCGAGCTGACTCGTGGGGTGAGAACAGTTTCATATTCAATATTTCACTTAAAAACAAGCAATGTGTGCGAATGGCTGTGCGCTTGTGGGACTGAGCGTGTGTTCTTGCGGCTAGCAGTGAAAGAGCGCTGGTTGTCTGAGAAAGTTTTGAAATATTGTTTCCAGGGAAGCGGTGTGTCTGAACGCTGTCACCGGGCGGCTCGAACCCTCGGTACGCAGAAAATGGCTGGCCGCGGGTTCGAGCGCTGTCAGTGTTTTTCCAACCGAATGTGTGGATAATTGGCCGTGTCTTCGAAATACTCACGTTGTGGATGGGTATATTCTTTACACACACACTTTTGTGCTTATTATGGCACGGGTTCGACTCTCTGTCAGGACGTCAAACGCGGTGTTTGTTTTTTTGTATTTATTTTTTTCTTTAAACGAACGCGTAATGGCGTCGAAGGTCCCCGTGTCGAGCTCTAAACTCTCTCGGTGCGGCATGGCTGAGTGTGCGGACAAAAGACATCGGTGTCAAACCCCGAGCCGCGTGCGCTGACAGATCAACGGGCTTCATTTGTGATCAAATCCATGGGCAGGAGGAGGAGGAGGAGTGGAGCTGCTGTCCTGACAGCGCGTCGTCGAGCTCATTGCGTTACTAACTGCACAGCTTTTGAGCGCTTTTAAACATATTACTCAAATTAAAAACATACCTATAATACCTGTAAAATATCAATTATTATAGTTCTTCGATTTATCGATTGGTGTTGGCATCCTTGTCATGCTTTTCTTTTCCATGTTTATGTTGATAAAGTGGAAACTTCTCAGGACAGTGTAATTCTTAAGTAATAACACATTGCAGTCATAACCTATGCCAGTCATTAAAAACGATTTTTTAGATGATTTATGTTTAGCATTCTTATGTACATTTTTTGTTTTTGTTTATTATCATTTTGTCTTAATGTCAAAACAACTTTTATTAGATCTGACATAGAAGGAATAGTTCACAAAACTAAAATTGTCATAATTTACTCAAACTTCACTTGTCAGAAATTGAGTTTCTTTTGAACAGAAAATAAGTTGTTTTTAAACACGTTGGAAACCTGTAACCATTGGCTTCATTTGTTTTTCCTGTGATAGAAGTCTGTTATTACAGTTTTATAACATTTTCAAAATATCTTCTTTTGTGTTCAACAGAAAAACTAAAAAAATAAAGGATAGGAACCACTTGATGGATAGCAAATTTTCTGTTTCTTTAAGGTGTAAAATAACACAAATCTAACATTTATATAAATTAAAAGCTTTATACTATAACTAACAAAATGTTACCATAACACTAATGTAGTAAATAGAAAAAAAACCCAATAAAGTATTTTATGGAGAATATTGTTCAGTTATTGAATGTTTTTAGCCCCTTGTGCATCAGTTTAAACATTACACATAATTCCTTCCTATAGAGGACAAAAATGTCCAGGCAATAGAAATGTTATTAAACTATCATATTTTAAAATATATTTACCTCACTGAAATACGTTTCTTTACATCCGCATCAGTCCCGATGATAACCAAAGACTAGAATACATGAGACATGTCACTCGTATAGTTTTGAATGGGAAAAGTGTAACGGTCACCATGGCGAATGAAACCCCGCTTACTAATACAAGAACCAATCATCGATCGATATAGATTGATGATTCTCGGGGGGAGACGATGAGATCTCACAGCAATTCGTTACTTTGATTTAGTGGCTAATATGTATGAAGTCGTACTATCTAAATCGTACAATTTAGTATGAATTGCTCATCATTTAAAGACAGTTGGGGTTAGGGGTGAGATTGGGTGCCATGCCTCCTTTTTAAAATCGTACATTTTCATACCACTGAACTCATAGAAAATTTGTACAAATTAGCCACTAAACTGACGAAACGTAATTTACTTGCATTTTCTTGAGATCAGGCTGGGGGAGCTCGGACTTTTACAGCAGTAAAACTGGAATTTCAGCGAATACTTTCATATAAGAAATATCCATATAAATACATAAGAAATAAATCCACATAAAGCTTGAGCTCTTTACTTTTAAATTAGTCAACTATACTTAAAAACAAACTTTTTTTAGTTTTGCAATCTGTATGAAATGAACACGAGGTACAGTCCATCCTGTCAAATCACATGATAGCAACTCATGCTCGCAAACAAAGTGCAAATGACAATCATTCAAAGGACAATAATGTACTAATGTAACGGCCATAAATGAGGCCGGTGTCCCGATCTTGTTACTTTTGAGTGCGCTTTTGAGTGCGCTTTTGAGGGAAAACTGAATAAATTCAGATTTAGTTTGATTCGAATGTTTGGAAACAAAACTTACCAGATGGTTGTTGTTTAATTTTATTGGTGATTCTAAATATGTAATGTAATCGTACGCTTGGCAAACAGTTTTGGAGAATTTGATGTTTCCCCATTCAGACAGAATGCCCGGACATACTGCTGGAGAGGCGTTTCAAAGATGGTCGCCGAGTGAAATGACTAGTCTTAAAGAAACTTTGTTATAACTACAAACAGAACATTAAGCTGATGGATAAGTTAACGATTGGAAACTCAAACAATATGCATAAATGGTTTATTGATTTTATTTAATGTGATCATTATTACAGTAGTCAACATTTAAAGTGGATCAAAAAAGGTTTTTCAAAATTGTCCTAAGACAACAATGGGTGCTGTTCAATAGCTTTAGGACAACTTTAATGAAATCTGATCATCCGCTTTAAATGTCGACTACTGTACAGTATATGAATAATTAAGAAACAGAGTTTAAAAATATTATAACAACAATTCTGTCAGTATGTGTGCTGGTATACAGTACACAATATTATGATAGAAATTCATTAATTTTCTATCATTATCTATCAAAAATCTGTCATTAATTTTTTTCGGCTTAGTCGCCACAGCGTAATGAACCGCCAACTTATCCAGCATATGTTTTATGCAGTGGATGCCCATCCAGCTGCAACCCATTGTGGGAAACACTTATACACACTCATTCACGCACATACACTATGGACAATTTAGCTTACCCAATTCACCTATACCACATGTTTTTGGACTTGTGGGGGAAACTGGAGCACCCAAAAGAAAACTTGTGCGAACATGGGGAGACATGCAAACTCCACGCAGAAATGCCAACTGACCCAGCCTGGGCTCGAACCAGTGATCTTCTTGCTGTAAAGCGATTGTGCTGCATGATAGAAAACTATATCGTGCTTTTAAACTGAGGATGCTAAAAATCTATCAGAAAAAGCTGTTTTGGATTTTACTTGAATTCATTTATATGTGTATGTCTGTGTTTTAATAATAAAAAACTGAAATTTAACGATGAACAAACTGGTTCATGTTTTATGCTTACTTTTTTCTATTTTTATTTAATTTCATATTCTAAATAAGACTCCCTCTCTCATCATCTCTTCTGTCTTAGTTTAACTGCAATATGTTATCATTTTATTCTGATTGTGAAGTGATTCATGCACCATGGTTTTAAAACAATTCCTTATCGCTAGGTTTGTACACAATTCAAAAGGTCCTCCACATCCATTTTATTTTATGTACTGGATGACATCACATATGAAAATGTGCACAACAGACAGTGCAACTGAATTAATGCGTCAAACACTATTAAATAATGATGAATATGTATTAATAATACTATTTACATAAGTACATAGAGTGGCTGTACATTTACAAATATTAATATTGTTTAAAGTTTCATTTAATTTCTAAATTACATCACTGATGATTTTTGAAGGATTGTTATTACTGAGTGTGTATTTTAGTAGGGGTCAGTATTAAATGAAGATAACTTAAAAAATAAATGATGCTGTTATCAAAGGTGAAAACAGATTTTTTATTTTTGTGTATTGTTATTAAATTATTAGGTCTGTACTTAGAGGAAATAGACCCTTAGAGGCAACATTGGTCAGCTTAATAAGAATATAATTATTTATATATTAACATTAAGCTGCCCAATATCACCTCCTCTTTCTCTTCTGTTCAACTGCAACATCTATTATGATTCTGTTGTGCTTAATAAATACTTGCATACAATTTCTTATTGCTACCAAATACATTTTTTTTTTACGAACAACATGAGAACCTCACCATACTTTTGTATTTAATGTGGGATATTTTCCTTTATGTATTTAAATGCACACCACAAGCATTATTTAATTGCAAACAACAGAATTAAGCATATTTAAGTTATTGATTTTTAAATATAGCATTGAATGTTGTAATAAGTAATTATGGTTATACAGTGTAAATTAACTTGGTTAACTTGGCACATTACAGTACTAATGTTGTTTTTTTTCCCTGAAGGATTACTGGCTTTAACAGGTGATCATTTGAAATTTGTCATTATAATTTGTGTTCTGTTCGTTTTTATCAAAGAAAGCATCATGTTATATTCTTTTTTTTGTGTGGCCTTTTTCAGATTGAGTCCTTACATGAGACATTCATGACTGATGGCAGTGCCAGAGGCATGGGTGAATATCAGCAGTTACATCAGATGGACAAGGAAATGGTACCATTACATGGATTATGCAAGATTTTGTGGCCCTGTCAGGCAATATTTCGATGTTCTCTCAGGACTGACTTACTCCATGAGTACTGAATAATGATTTCTCTACTGCTGAATGTACTGAGGTTGCTATGCGAAAACAACAAACATTGGACAGCTTAGGTGGGATCATTTCACAAAATAAATGGACTGATCTTACTGCAACCAAAGATTGTCAAATGTCTGTGGGTCAAGAAGGCGAGTCATCAGGTGAGGGGCTTTCATTGAAGAATGAACATAAGGACAAGGTGCCCCCAGATGGGTTTCCTGTCCCATCACAAGATCAGACAGAAAATGTAAAGGATTACAGCAAGCAGAATTCACCAAAATATACATCAATCTCAGACCAGATGAGTCCTCTTGAAAACCAGACGCCTAAAAATAAATGTGTCGCTTCTGAGGAAAAGACAAGAAGTCTACCAACAAACATGCAGCTGATACCCAAGATGAAGTCTGATAATGCTAAGACAGACATTTGTGAAGTAACAACCAAAGCTACAAACATTGTTAACACCTCAACAAATGATTTTCTAGAGGTTAAGGTTCAACGACAATCTGTTCTGAATAAAGATTTTCATAATGACAAGCTAGTGTCATCTGATGGATGCAACCTTTTTGAGAAAAAGACGCAGGTCGTTGATGTGGCACATGCAAGAGGGAGTAAACCTGGCATTGACATGAATGCAAACATAGAAAATTTAGAACATACTAAAGAATGCACCGAAGATGATAAAACACAAACTTTGGGTAGCGTAGGAGAGAATAGACTTTTTCTCAGAACAAACTTGGCAATGACAAGTGCAGGAAAATCTCTGGGACAGTATGATCAAGACGAGGTATTAGATTTAAGTCTACCAAAAAAGAAAGATCGCAATAATGAGAGGCAGTGTGAATGGGTTGTAGACCCTGAATTTGAAGGTTCACTTCACATGGAAGTTGACGAAATTGAAGATGAACCCCAACATGATGAAGTGGAGCAGGAGGATGATATTGGATATTGCTGGATGCCTTCAGTAAGTGATGCTCACGCATATCTCCCACAGCCTTGGGATGCACATTTGTCCTCCCCCTCGCTTGAAGCCATGCAATCTTCATCGTACCCCAATGCCATAACCCCAGAGCCAGCGGATACTCTACTTATAGATGACCAGGGCATTCCTTACACACTCACCCTTGATGGACAGAAAATGCCACAAATTGATAATATACAAGATGCTGAAAGGTTCACTGAGCAAACAGCCCAAAGCCCAAGGCAAGCTGAAGATAAGCCCTCTTCATTTGCTGGCGCACAGGATATTGCAGACTCTAGACTGCAGACACAACCTAATTCACTGTGTCCAAATATGTCTCTTGGCCTTGTCTCTGAGGAAGCCTCACAAGTTACCTCAAACCAGGAGACTACAGCTTCTTCCAGTTCTGTAACTCGTGCAAAACCCACAATCATACCTGCTGTGTCTAACTTGGCATCAGTTCCCATTCAGATCGTGGCCAATACTACAGGGTCAAATACTCCCATTCTTCTCCTTCCTCCATCTCAGCTTCAGTCACTTTCCTCACCAGCCTCTAAGGCTAACCCAGGACTAATTACCCTTTCTTTACCAGTTTCTCTCAGTCAGAACACTCAGTCCTCCCCCATGTTCTTAGTTTTGTCATCTCCTCAGGTGTCTTCAACTCCGGGTTTGTCCTTGCCTGGGCAATCATCTCAAATTTCCGCCTCTTCCACTGTTGCACTTCCCTTAGCCACGTGTCCCCTTGATTTGGGATCTACATTAATTTCACATCCGTCACTTCTCAGCCTCAGCACGGTTTCCTCTGCCACAGCTAAAGACATCTCAGGATCCAATAACCCCTCTAATCTTCCTGCTAGCCCTACCTCATCAACTGCTTCCTCTAGCACTTCAACAGTGACCTCTACAAGTCCAGCCAAGCAATTCAGCACTGATGCCTGCTCTGACACACCAGTGCCCACTTCCTTTCGGGAGGCTCTTCTCAGATTGGCTGTGTCTGTGGAAAAAAAACAGGAAAACCAGACTGAGGCTCAATCGGTCACTTCACCTTCCTCATGTTCAGAAGCAACCAAGCCGGATTCCTCTGCCACAGTCCAGGAAATTAAAAACCAGGAGGTAAACTGTGACGGTGAAACTGAATCTACCTGTGTGGACCAAGCAGACTCACTAGATACCACCTCTTCCACCTCTCCCCTTTGTCCTGTATCACCCACCAATCCTTCAAAGAGCCAAGACTCTTTAGGGCCACGTCGCATTCTTTACTGTCAGTATTGTCCTCGGATCTTCTACTATCTCTCGGACCTTGAGCGCCATTCCATCACACACTCCCAAAGCAAACCCCATGTGTGTCAACTCTGTGGCAAGGCATTCAAAAGATCAAGCCATCTTGAGCGACACAAACACATCCATACAGGACAGAGAAACTTTGTGTGTCAGCTTTGCCCAAGGCGTTTTCGTGAATCAGGGGAGCTAATGAGACACCAGAGAGTACACACCGGTGAAAAACCCTTTCAATGCTTAATATGCCATATGCGTTTTGCAGAGCGCAACACACTGCGACGTCACACAAAGCGCAAGCACCAAGGCCAGCAGCTGGAAGCAGTGGACATGAAGGAGAAGCTAGAAAGTGGAGGGATTTCCCTCGCTGGTGTGCAAGCAGAGGCAGAGGAGAATGCAGAGTGGTACAGTTCAACAGTTCCTGAAATGGAGTCCGACAGTGACACAGGGGGAGAAGGAACTACATGAGGATATAAACAATTAGGTCACCTTTTTTTTTTTTTACAAAACGGTTAGATATAAGAATAGTTGTATATATATTTAATTTATTCTGTATTGATATAACAATTCCTTATTTCTCATTAGTTTCAGATAATTGTCTACATTTCATTCCTTTGATACTTGAGGCTATTACTGCTGATGACTGAACGAGGCAATATTCACTCAATCTTTATTCTAATATGCTTTAGCTTTAAGATATTGAGTTTCAAATCTTCAGTCAACTATTCATTTCATTTTTTTTGCATGCATGCACGTCATCTTTCCTCATGGGTGTGATGTAGCTTTTGTAATAGACTAAAACACTCATAAATGCTCTTAAAAATTTTACATTGTGGTTCCTTGAAGTAACGAAATAGTAACAAGGATTTGCCAGGTCACTATATCTTTAACTCTCCAAATTATTTGGCCAAACTAGGCCTCACATATGCTTTTCTTCGCCATTTTCTGCGTATCATGACTAAAGTGACCATTCTTTTGTGACAAGAAGCTTGGGAAATTTGCCTCTAAACATGTTCAGTGCAAGCTCATTCTTACTGCTTTGTTCATTGTAACCTGCAGAGGGCAGTTTAATAGCACTGTGACCTCATTATGCCTTTTCTCATTCCACACAGCCATTGCTTTCATTTACATTTTTGTCATCTGTTGTGTCATATGCATTTTCCATAATTTTCGCTAGTTCTTCAAATAACTACTGAGTTATCACATATTGGATCTACTGCTAATTCAGTTCCATGCATTTGACAGAAGGCTCACTTTGTGCCTCATGAGAAGAACCAGACAGACAGCGGGCATTTTTTGCTATTTCTGCTGAGAATTTTGTTACAAATCTGCGGATTTACGCGGAATGATTTTGGGAGGATCTTAATAAAAAATTAAATATATGAAAAAAAAAAAAAGAATACATTTTAAACTTTTATTTCATGTTTACAATGCACATGCAATTAGATACACTTTATTTCATAAACAAAGCCAGGCTCTTATATCTTATATCTATTAAAAGACAGAAATGATTACTTTACAAACTGTATTGTGCATAAATCATATCAATATTTTCATGTTAGTCAGTAATATTACTGAATTTAATTTAAAACTTTAATAAATACAAATTAAAACACATTTACTCAAGTAAAAAAACAGAATCAACGATGGGCTAAAAATCTGTTGAACTTTGCGTGCGTAGATTCTGTGTGGGCCTACTCATGAGCAACACTGATAAATACCAGTTTACTGTGGACAACTGAGGTTTTTTAACACATTTGATTGTTTCTGTAGAATCTGCTGTACATCTGTTATGTACAATTAAACAGGCCTAGGTTTTTTTTAATTATTGTTTTAGAACATCCTCAGATTTATCCGCTATAAAACATCTTGCTGTGTGTTCCTTTTGGTTTCTGCCTCTAGGTTTTTCTATATTTTCAGAAGGGAGCATGTGTGTACAACAATATTTTTCTTTTGCTGAATGCTAAATGCGGTGCTTTGTTCTTTTCTGAATTATTACAAAACTCTGACCTTCTTTCAGGGTCTGCTTAATTTTCATTGCTTTAAATTATGCTTTTATATGGACAAAGAAGGTTTTATTACATCTTCTGAACTATTGCAGAAGGTTCTAGTTCATCTGCACATATTATTTGTGATACAAATTAATTTAACTATTTATATACATTTTCACAGTGATGTGCAGATATAATTGTCTGGTGCTCTTGCACTTTTCTTTTTATGCTGATAATGTTACATTTAAACTTAGCAGAACAACTAACTAGTAGGTTAAAACCTGAATAAAAACAGCTTGAGTGACTGAAAGGTTTAACCCTTGATGAACAATTCTGTTCTTGCAATTTGCCAACCAAACTTTAAATAACCAAACATCATGCACAGAATGACCACCTTGGGTTAATATAAAATTCTGTTGGTTAAACTTCAGATTTGATTATGAATCAGAATATTTGCACAGGCTAATTAAAGCTTGTCAATCCCATCTTTTTTCCATGCTCAATTAACTTTGCTCTCAGCTCATGGCAGCACGTATTCTACAGATATTTTATGCGCTGGACAATATCACTAAATTTGATTCACACAGTTGTTTACATAGCTTTTTCATATATATTAAGACTGGTTTAGTGTGTTTTATTATTGAGCTCATTTCACTGTTTAGCACATGTTTAAAATACATATTTGGTTCTTTCTTACAAGTTAAGGAGTGTGTTGTAACTGACTAAGAACAATCTTGCACCAATGAGAACTATTTATTTATGGTGAAAATGTTATATTTAAAATGGTGTGTTATGTCACAGAACACTTATATATTTAATACACAATTTAAAAACAAGACTGTGGATATTTAAACAGCCTAATTTCTGTAACCTGTGTCACAGGATTTTAAATAAAATGAATCAAATTCAGATGCTTCCAGGCCATCCATTTTTTTTCAGAAAAAAAATATTTTATGCTCTTGATTTACTTTTATTTATTTATTTATTAAATTTTTTTTTAAATTAAGACTGCTGCCTATATTGACTCTGATACAGCATATCAATGATAATTCTGGCTTGAAGTGTTTATGCATGGATGTGCTTCGCCTCCTTTAACCTTACAGGCTGTGCTAGACAGGAGTGTCTGTGTACTTGTGATTGACAGCTCAGATGTGCTCATAGGGTCGCTGTTCCATTTGGCAGCATCAAGGAGAGCGGCTCCCACAATCAAGCTGACAGCAGGTGTCTATAAGTGTTGGGTATGAATGTGTGCATTTGGATGTGTGAGAGCGAGCAAGAGTGAAACAGTATAGAAAAAATGCAGGAGACTTGCATTTTTCTGAGCTTGTTACATTGATGCCTGGCACTTTCCGTTAATAAGACATTTGCACAATAATGGGAATGAGTGTGAGCGTGCGATAGTCTCTTGAAATGGATATCAGGCAGTATAATGTGAAAGAATTTCCTCATAATGAAAAGGAGTGCGAAGAGGTAACGTTTTAGACATGGCTTATGGTTTGTTGGCAGGAAGAAGCTTGCTTTAGTGTAGTCAGCCTTAGACATCACTTCGTGGACCATTGGCTGATTCATAAGGCACACAAAATGGAAGACATTTTGTGAGCTTCGACGTTTACATCTCATTAAATTCTCCAGGATTTCTGTGGTTGTCTTTTTTTAAACAAAGCTGTCATGATGTCAAACCCCCTCATGGAAGAAGAAAACTATTGTGACTACGCATTTAACAGGATAAAACAAACACTGGATTTTCTCTTTACATCTAAACACTTCAGTAACCGAGCACTAGTCTTTTACTGTAGGGACATTAAGCCATTTGGACTTTGACACCTTTAAATGTGATTGACTTCTTTACATGTTTGTCAGCTGACCTGTTGGGTGGTCCCTGGTCAGGGAAGACTATAGAGTTTAGTTCTTCTGCTGTCATTGTGAAGGTCAGGCCATGCAAGGCTTGCAATCTGCCTCTGCAGCACACTGTGTGGGAACTATCATGTCCATCAAATAAAAAAGTTTGTTTCAATCCAAAGTATTTACAACTGGCCAAAGAAAAAAATCAAATTGTAGTATTTTTATGGGCACCTTATTCTCCCACACTGAAAACCCTAAAGTTGTCTTTACTTAAACAATTACGTAAAGTTGACTGAACATATGTTTTTTTCACATGTGGAATTTGTGACAGATAATGCAGGACAGTTTTTCCCCTATATCCTTCAAGCTCTTACATCGTATTGCAGAGCTCTTTAACCCTGTTCATAGAGATCTACTTTTCTGCAGAATTCAGACCAAACCTTAACCAAAAACAAATTAACCAACTAGTTAGGATCTAAGGCACTTGGTTGTTCTTCAAGCTCTTGACTGAACTTGAAAGGAAGGTAGATCTCCAGGATTTCGGTTGTTGACCTCTCCTCTGGTGTAAATATTGTTAAGGGATGGGCATCTTCGATCTACTGTAGGGCCACTGTCCTGCAGAGCTTAGCTCCAACTTAATCAAACACACCTACCTTGTGTTTTCTAGTAGCTTACCTTGAAATGATTGATTAGCTTGCTCAGGTGTGTTTGATTAGGGTTGGATCAAAACTCTGGGGAACACTTGCTATTTCTTAATTCCAAGAACGGAGAGAATGAACTTGCAATCTTGTGAAGAATTTGCCAGATCACCTTAAAACAACAAACTCGGGAGACTGAGAACACAGAACACGTCCTGTGACAAATAAGATGCTGCGTTCTTTCTGAGTTCTGCCTAATATTCACAAAAAAACTTGTCAATATAGTTTGCACAATAGTAATAACACAGATTTAATTAAAATTTCTGCAAAAAAAAAAAAAAAAAAAAAAAACACCCTTTATGGTTTATAGCTTTATTAAGATTTTTATGGCAATGTTTACTTTCAGTGTCTCGTTTGCGGAAACTTCTGAGATAAATAAGTTATATATCTGAACTTTAATAATAAGTCTATATAAAATGCTGCACTCCCGACCTCCTTTATTCAGTCGCAATGACTTCTGGGACTTCTAGAGTTAGTTCGGTGCTTAAGTCTGCATCGGTGCATTCTTCAAACCAAGAGCACATCTGGGAACTTTCACGTGTCCTCTGTTCTTGCGGTCTTGAGTTTTATAACTGATCTTTGGCAGTTGATGATGACGTTATACGAAAACGCATAATTGAGAAACAGCCAATGACTCTCCTTAATCAAAGTTGCCCGTCCCCATTTTAAAGGATTAGGACAGGGCTGTCCAAACCCTCTCCTCAAGGGCCACTATCCTACAAAATTTCATAATTAAAGGCCTGGATGAAGCTAATCAAATTCTTTAGACCAACGCATATGGCTGCCAAGCCTGCAACCTTCAACCAAAAAAGTACTGTTAAAGCTAATGCTCCAACTTTACCACTATACAAGCAAGGACAAAACAAGCTGTTATTTGTGCTATGGATGTTAATGAAGGAATATCTTCCTCATGCTAAATAAACGGCTTTTGTGTGAGAAGATCTTAAATTATGTATAAACAGTATATTGGGTAATCTTCCAAATGTTTTCCATTAAACATTATTTTTATCTGGTTTTAAATTAGCTGTTTATTAGAAAAGTCACAGACAATTTTGCGACAGGCAGAACTCTAGTGTATGCCCATGATCTTTCATTACTTTGTTTATTTTGCAAACATCAACTAATGTCGCACAACTCTGACAGAAAGTCAATGGAATTGATTATAAAATGCACACATTGTTCAGGTTTTTCAATACTCTTTCACTCTTCTATAATTCAGACCTTCTCTGTTCAGACCTGGAACATACTGACAAGTGTGTTGAAGCTGGATGAAGTCCTTCTGCACAAGACAGGGCATCTATGTATTAGTACATATGAAGGGCTTTGGCACCAGGTAGCGACAAGAACTCACTCATAAGAACAACCCACTAAATGTAGTTCCCTGAAAACTCAGTTTTTCCAGGACCATTATCCTCCTTGCCTTCACACCGTCAGCAACTCTGAAAGTATGTAAGTAAGCAACAGGTGACATCAATCTCTGCTTTTAGCAAAATTAACATCGTGAATTGTAAAGGCCACCATAATCAAAGCTGTTTTTATTGTCTTTTGCAGGTTTTGTATTAACAGTGATGGAACGCAGATGTACGAGTTCTGTGGTTGAAACAGCACAATGGGAACTAATTCCCCTCTTACACAAACACAAAGCTGCTGACAAAAGCAACAGGTAAAAGCCTCTAACATTGGTGTTCTGAATGATTGTCGTGTGACACTTTAAAATACTCTGTAGATGTTTTGTATTGAATGCATTTGCCCAAAGAATGCATACTTGCGTTACTGCAGTTCTGGTTTCACCAATGCTCCCTTTAACAAATTATAAGTTACATTTCAGCTACATAACAAGTAATTCTCATTAGAGTGTTAGTTGACTGTTATATTAGTTGTCAGGTTACTGCAAAGTTCTTTATAGTTAGAGCACTGTCTGTCGGTATCAGAAGATACTAAGCAGACAATCTACTAATACTCAGTGATATCATAGCGCCTATTGTAAGGATAGACCCTGCTCTTAAGCTAATTTAGTGTTGTTCCGACTGTCCAAATGATTTCCTAAAAACTTGTAGCATTATTGCCAGATTCTGTTGAGCAAACATAGATACACCTACCTCCAAATACTGGAAAATAAGTATTAGTTGCTCCAGTGCAGAAGCTCCAAAGAGCCCTTTAGTTCAGCTTATGAAATGTTTATGGAAGAGGTAATATGCTGGTGGACACACAGAGTACATTTTCCGAGAGGTAGATACTGAGGCTAGAGAGATCAGGAGATACACAGTTGAGTGTTGTTAGCATAGCTGTGGCAAGTGAAGCCATATGATTGGAGAAGTGGCCTGAATGTCCTGCTGCTGACGCATATGATGGCTGGTTCAAGCAAAGAGACTTCCATAACTAGAGATGAGGGACCTGGATGCTGTGCATTTAAAGAGCCAATTTTTCCCTATGCAGGAAAGCACAAGGACAGAACCTAGCATATTGTATGATGTTGTTACATATTTATGCCACCAGAGGGCAAACTCACTCCAAGTTAAGCATGCACTCCTCAAGCATTTACAGTAAGCAGCCTTGCAGCATTTAGGGTTGTCCATCTTTTCTGTTACAACGTTTTTTTCAGCTGGTGTGCTTAAAAATGGGTTTCAAGAGTGTTCCTGGATATGCTTTCTGACACCTTGTATTTAATGACTTGTGTAAAAACTGGGTCTTAAAACTATATCAGCCGAGAACCACTGGCCCTATTTGCACTGCTTTGGATCAATAACAAAAAAGCTGACAAATAGTTTTTTGGTTGCACATTATTTTGATGGTCCCCTTTAGGCATTCTGTTAGACTATAAATAACCGCAACTACATGTCAAACAGCAGCCATCCAAGTATTAATAGATCGCCTGCTTATTTTGATGGTTCCCAAACAGATAATATGCTCACTATATATTAATAAGTATCCAGACTTATCCCTAACAGTCCACTAATAGTCTAATAAAAATTTCATGACGGGTAGGTGCTTATACACAGCAGTTTCTTTTTTGTTGCAGTGTAAAAGGGACAGTTTACCCAATTCTGTCATCTTTTACTCACCTTTAACTTGCTACAAACCTGTTTGACTTTCTTTCTGTGAAACACAAACGGAATATATTTCAAAGAAAGCTGAAAACCTGTAACAAATGACTTCCACAGCCACAAGATGACGTCAGATTAACGCTGTACCCTAACGTAGTGGGACAATGAAAATCAGGTTGAAGTCCGAACCCAATGTCTAACATCGAACAGATGTTGGATTTTGATCACTTTCCAACACGACCTAAAAACAACCAAATATCAATGTCATTTAACGTCGTTATTGGACGTCAAAATAACTTAGACACTGGCTAGACATTGAATTTTG